CTGCTGCAGGGGCGTGTCTTAGAGAGAGGTTTATATACCAGAATACAGCCACTGTGACAAAACTGTGCAGAAGACACGTCACAGCGGAGAGCCGTTAACCAAAATGCAAATTATCCTGCAGTACCACTGCTCTACCCATATGAGCAGCAAAAACACGTTTTTAGACCAAATATTACAGATTTGAACAAATACGCACAAAAATATCAAAATTAGCTCAGAAACAGTACTATGTAACATTTTAGACACATTCTAGACAGTTTATCAGCTAAAAAAAAGTTAATTTTGGGGTAAGTTACTCTTTAAGCACGAGGARAACATTTAAACTCCACACAGAAAGACCCCAAGGCTGAACCCAGAACCCTGTTACTGTGAGGCATCAGTGCTAACCCTGAGCCGCCGTGCTGACTTTAAACACCGTCTCAGTTTCATAGAAACTCTTTGTCAAACATGGACCAACAGTGTTGTTTTTACTGACTCAGCATATTGAGTTGGATCCACTGAGAACATTGGATTAAAAAGAAGAACCCACAATCTGGGTTATTAAATAATTGGGTTAAGTTTTTACAGCTCAACCTCAAAATGATCAAGTCAGCATTTCTTTTCCATAAAGGCGATGCAATAAAAATGTGCATAAAATCAGTTGATTTCACATTATTTTGCTTGTAAAGCATTTTACTTCAGCCATCTCTGTACATGTAAGAGAGGCTTTTTTTTTTTACTCTGCTCGTCTCTTTGTCCTCCTCTCCTCTTCTTGTGTTCATGGTGTGTGTTTTTGTCGCCTCTGACAGACTTGGATAAGATGGACAACGAGAAGCAGGAGATGAACCAGGCTGACATCGCGGCTCTGCGTTATTTCTACTCCAAACACATCAGTGACCTCCCTGACGAGCAGGCGCTCACTGAGCTCTTCACTCAGGTACAAAACTATAAGACTCAGGAAGCAGTGTGGGTGACACAAGGGCTGCTGTGTGATTAGAGCTGGTTGTGTTGACTGACAGGTATTAAACTTTCTGTACATCATCTGTAGATATTTGCTCACCCTTTTGAGAGAGTAAAACATGTAATTTTTTAAAATTTTACCCTTATTCAACCAGACAAGTCCCACTGAGATCAAAGATCTCTTTTGCACAGGAGGCCTGGGCCTGAAGGCAACCTGTTGTACATATTTTTGTGTTGTGGGGGAAACTGGAGTWGCCGGAGAAAAGCTTGAGGATAACATGCAAACTCCACACAGAAAGACCCCGGGGATCGAACCCAGGACCTTGTTGCTGTGAGGCATCAGTGCTAACCACTGAGCCATCGTGCTGCAGTGCTGTCAGCTTACATGAAGTGGTGCATGAGTTGACAGACATGTTGCTGCAGCCTCCCTCTGGAGCCTGTCTGCTCTCAGCGCTTTAATTTGATCTGACCATCTGTTCACACTTTAATAACAACAACCTGTTTGGCTTCAGTTTTAATCTCCACCAGCAGATTTCCTTTTTTTTATGACACGTTCACCTCATCAGTTTGTAATGCCCTTTGTTTTTAATATATATGAATATATTGAACTGTGCAGAAGTTTGAAACCAGCTCTAATTTTGTTTGCAAAATTAGTCTATTTGGAAGGAAAATATGAAGAAATGAGCCACGACTCATAATGTTTGCTCAGCACTTACATTATAGTTTTTATTTAAATTACAGAATARGATACCTTGTGAACTTCATAAATTTTAAAAATGGGTTTTATACACAATCATTTATCAGGTGCATAAGAAAATGGCAGGTTTGCTCTGTGTTACATCAGCAGCTTTTTCTATTTTTTTAATTTTATTTAAAAAAATGTATTCATTTCATTTAAAAACAAAGCAAATGCTGTACATACAACAAATAATAACACAACACAAATAAAATGAAAGGTAGCAGAAAGGAGAAAATAATTTTTTTTTTAAATTTTACTCTGAATCTGAACATTGTTTTATAAAAACAACCTTATTGTGTTGAAGAGCACTGCAAGATTATAAACTGAAAGAAAAAAATCTTGTTTTGCCTTCAGGAAATCTGGAAAAGTCTATTTTTTTATTATTTAGGCAGGAAAGTTTTAAGAAACATATACAGCGGGTAAAATAAGTATTGAACATGTCAACATTTTTCTCAGTAAATATATTACTAGAGGTGWTAATGACATGAAATTTTCACCAGATGTTGGTAACAACCCAAGTGATCCATACATACAAAGAAATCAAACCATAAATGTCCAGAAATGAAGTTATTTGTAATAATGTGGAATGGCACAGGGAAAAAGTATTGAACACACTTCCTGAAATTTATCTAATACTTTGTACAAAAGCCTTTGTTGTCAATGACAGCTTCAAGACGCCTCCTGTGTGGAGAAACTAGTGGCATGCATTGCTCAGGTGTGATTTTGGCCCATTCTTCCACAAACAGTCTTCAAATCTTGAAGGTTTCGTGGACCTCTTCTATGAACTCTGATCTTTAGTTCTTTCCATAGATTTTCTGTTGGATTCAGGTCAGGTGATTGGCTGGGCCATTCCAGCAGCTTTAGTTTCTTTCTCTGAAACCAACTGAGAGTTTCCTTGACTTTGTGTTTGGGCTCATTGTCTTGCTGAAATGTCCAGCCACGTTACATCTTCATCATCCTGGTAGATGGAAGCAGATTTTTGTCAAGAATGTCTCTACATTTTTCCATTCATCBTTCCTTCAATTATTTGAAGTTTGCCAGTACCATATGCTGAAAAACAGCCCCACACCATGATGTTCCCACCTCCAAACTTCACTGTTGGTATGGTGTTTTTGGGCTGATGTGCAGTGCCATTTGACCTCCAAACATGATGTGTATTCTGGCATCCAAACAGTTCAATGTTGGTCTCATCTGACCAGACTATATTCTCCCAGTATTACACAGGCTTGTCTAAATGTTGTGCAGCAAACTTTAAAGGAGCTTCAACATGCTGTTTCTTCAGCAGTGGAGTCTTGCGTGGTGAGCGTGCATACAGGCCATGGTGGTTCAGTGCATTACTTATTGTTTTCTTTGAAACAAACGTACCTGCTAATTCCAGATCTTTCTGAAGCTCTCCACAAGTGGTCCTTGGCTCTTGGACAACTCTTCTGATAACTCTTTTCACTCCTCTGTCAGAAATCTTGTGAGGAGCAYCTGGTCGTGGTCGGTTTATGGTGAAATAATGTTCTTTCCACTTCTGAATTATGGCCCCAACAGTGCTCACTGGAACCTTCAGAAGTTTAGACATTCTTCTGTAACCGATGCCATCATTATGCTTTGCAACAATAAGGTTGTGAAGGTCTTGAGAGAGCTCTTTACTTTTACCCATCATCAGATGGTTCTTGTGTGATACCTGRCCATCATTTGGGACTGAACCAGCTGATATTAACTTGCACTGACGAGGGGCAGGCTTGCTTTCTAATTACTGAGAGAGTTCAGCTGGTGTCTTGKCTTTCCATGCCTTTTTACACCTCCCTTTCTTCATGTGTTCAATACTTTTCCCCTGTGCCATTCCACATTATTACAAATAACTTCATTTCTGGACATTTATGGTTTGATTTCTTTGTATGTATGGATCACTTGGGTTGTTACCRACATCTGGTGAAAATTTCATGTCATTAGCACCTCTAGTAATATATTTACTGAGAAAAATGGTGACGTGTTCAATACTTATTTTACCAGCTGTACCTCCCTTTCTATTCAATTCAAATCAAAAATACTTTTAATTCCTAAGGGAAATTAATTAATTAATTATAAATAATAATATAAATTAATTAAATAACTTGTCTGCAGGTGAACTGTAACGGTTTTACCATAGAGGACGAGGAGCTCTCACATCTCGGATCAGCTGTTTTTCCTGAGTGAGTTTTTGTCAAATCATTTCTTAAACTTTTTATCAGTTTTTAGACCTTTTACATATTTCAAAGACTGTGTGCTCAACATCTAAGAAAACTGAGCCATAATGTGTTATTTCTCACATTTACAATGTTTTCTATTCAGTGAAGTGTAAACCTTCCAGAAGTTAAAGGTGACGAATTGTAAAAGCAACTTTTCTTGTCCTGTTTCCAGTGTAGCACTGATGAACCACAGCTGTGATCCTAATGTTATCGTGACTTATAAAGGCACAGTGGCTGAAGTCAGAGCTGTGCAGGAAATAAACCCAGGAGAAGAGGTGAGCAGAGATGACAGTTTAGGGAAAATGTAAATCTCCGCTCATTTTATGTGTTTTTTCACTCGTCTTTGCAGATCTGTGACAGCTACATCGACCTGCTGTATCCTACAGAGGACAGAAGAGAGAGGTTATTAGATTCTTACTTCTTCTCCTGTCAGTGTACGGAGTGCACCTCCAGGTCTAAGGTACAGCAGCTGGAACAACTTTCTGCACATTGTTTATCAGTTCATTTTTAAAACATAAGAATCAGAAGGACAAGGAAACATTTGTGTTTTTATTAGATGGTAAAAAAATAACTTTCTCTTAGATTTTTGTCTTAAATTTTTTTTCAGTGATTTGTTGGTGTTTCTGTCTGAAATCCAGGTTTTAAAATGGAAACCTTTTCAAAATTATTCTCAACATGCTGAAAATTATGTGTTTCAGTACTAAGCTTTGTTTTATACATACCAGTCATACAGGATAAATATGTTATAGAAAAATATAAATCGTTGTTCTGAATTASATTATATTTTTAGGATGAAATGTGGAACTAAAAGTTCCTCAGCAGAACCTGTTTATGATTCTTTATCTTTAATGTGAGCATGGATTTTCTTTATTTTCTTACGTCTTTGTAGGACAAGGCAAAAATGGAGATCAGGAAGCTGAGCGCTCCACCAGAAGCAGAAGAAATCAGCAGCATGGTTTGTTACGCCAAGAACGTGATTGAAGAGTTCAGAAGAGCCAAACACTACAAAAATATCCTCTTCTCGTTGTTTCGCTCTGTTCTTGATGACGAGCGGAGGCCCTCCTGCCTCCGCTCTGCTTTCTGTGCCGTTCCTTGACTCCCCTGCACCTCCCAGTGAGCTGCTGGAAATGTGCGAGCTCAGCCTGGAGAAGATGGGAGCTATTTTTGCCGACACCAACGTCTACATGCTGCACATGATGTATCAGGCCATGGGCGTGTGTCTCTACATGCAGGACTGGGACGGCGCTATGAGCTACGGAGAGAAGATCGTTCAGCCTTACAGGTAAACTCTTCCTCTGAAGCTGTTTGTTTACCTGAATTTAACACATCTCTCTGTCAAATTCATTTTCACAGAGGGCCACGTGAGCGTTCTGGTGGTCCTCAAACAGCCAGTTGTATTTAACCTCATCGTTTTGTGTTTAACTTTATCTAAAAACACAATACGTCACATTCCTGCTAATAAACAATAACTGAGCTCTACCTGGTATTTCCTGCGTAGAAACAGTGTTTTAACACATCCTCTAATAAACATTGAAAAGACCTAAGAGTTCAACTGACTAAAGAATAATGCAGAAATACTATTAAAAGTAAAAGTAAGAGTTTTACTCACAGAGTTGTGGTAAGTCTTGAATTCTGACAAGAATCAATGTGCATTATGGGAGGTATAGTTTATGRTCAATGCTGGCGTTAATCAAGCTTGTTTTGAGACATTATTGCAGAGCTGTTTAACTAAATTGCTCAGGGGATACAGTTACTCAAAGCCAACAGCTCAGGTGCAGGACAAGTTTTATTATCTTTTAAATGAGTTCATTTTGATGCATTGAATCACAAAGCTGTCTTGGTGCAAGTCACTCCACGGGCCTTTAATTTGACCCACAGGCTCCGTAAGTTAGATTTTTGTAATTTAGTAAAAGTTTTCTTGTTTTYAGCCCAATGATCAACCATTTTCAGAGGAAAACTTTGCTATTTAAACAGAAGACTTAAAACTGAACCACTGCTGTAATCAAAAATACACGTATTGGCTTTTTTTTTTTTTAGGTCGCCAAATGGTTTCGGAGAGAAAAACGACAGGAAAAAAGCTTCGACTAAAAGTTTTTGAGCATTCGTGACGCTTTTTTTTTTTTTTGATCGACGCGTTAAACATTCGTTCATACTGACTGACATGAAGCAATGAGTAAACATTACCGTCTGCAGCCGCGAGAGAGCGCTCTAGGCTTGTGACAGCTATGTTGTTCCTCTACYGCTAAACAAAAATAGCTGAAACATTAGCTTAAACTGAGAAACACTGAACACAAACAAAATGCAAATTACAAACTGCAGATAGTAAAAATGTAGCACTATGCTTAATGATTCATTTAGAAATAAAAGTGACCTATATGTTTTTTTCCTCTTCATGACGCGTGTCTTACTGATGCAACTTATACACCATATAGTCCTAAAAACACTGTTTGTAGACTCTGTATTACCAGCAGCTGTTCAC